AAATATTTTAGCTGTGAAGCAGAATAGAGAGCCAGCTTTATATAAATGGTATGTAAAACAAATTTATTGATTTCAAATTTAAGTATAGCCCATGTTCAGGTAAATAAAAAGGCCACCAAGAGAAAGTATCAAGAAAAATAAAAAGCAGAGTAGAGTTAACAACTGTGCCTTAAAAAAAAAAAGAAAAAAAAAAACAGGTCATAAAAGAGAAAAGAAGATGAATCACAAACCATTTCAGCAGGGCAGAAAATTGGGCAATTCCCCAGTACTCTGTGTGTGGGGAGTTGGTGGGGACAGAATGTGTCACTAGTCAGCAAACAAGCAGCCCACAACAGGGCATGACTCAGGGCAGTAATTCTTCCACAAGAAAGGAAATTTTTCAGCCACTCTGAAAGACAGGCCTGAGACCTGGGCTAAACAGTCTTTTTGTCTTCAAAGGGAGGACTGTCTCTCATTCTTAAACAACACATCAATTGCCTCTGATTGTGAGAATTTCATTAATGAAATTCCACCTGTATTAAAAATGATATACAACCAGCTGGAGGGAGGGTGAAGCTATGATGTTTTTCCAGCCCCAAACTGTTCTAGAACTTCATAAAGTGAAACTAATACAGCTCATTTGGGGGCAGGGGAAGACAGGTGCCAACGTGAGACTAATGTGACAGTTCGATAAGGAATGAAGATTTCTGGCTATTTGGCTGATCTTGTGGGAAAGGCCTAAAAACCAAAAAATGAGAGAACTATAGAGTATGTTTCACCTAGATACAAGGAAGAGCCATAAACAAGGAAGAAACTTGAGAGAAATCATTCGGTGCAATGAAATTTGTGAATTCACTTATTATTGTGCATTCAGTAGCCTCTCAAAGCATAAAACTATGCAAATGCCTATCATCTCTATGAAGCAGTCAGAGTTACTTCTTCATCTAAAATATCCTGCAGCCAGAAAAATTAGAACACAGATGAAAGCTGAATGGATCTTCTGTTATTGGTGAGGGCTCAATCATAGGAAAGTAATCTAATTTCTCATTTTTTTAGAAGTTATTCTCCAGTCCATTAGAACCTAATGTTTTCTGTAACCCAATCCATATATTGTTTGAATTTTTAAAAATGTTGTTCTATATATATATAGACAAGGTCAGTCCTGAAATTTGGAGAAAAAGTACATTTTACTTTATTCCTGGTAATCTTATTAGAAATATTTTAGCATATTCTAATAATTCTCAAAAAAAGGCTGCCAACCATATTTTCTCGATCTGATCCCCAAATACAAATGTCTTGTGCATACTCAATCTTCCCCATAATTTGAATCCATTAGAAAGCAAAATAAAAAAGCATAAAATTTAAAATGACAGAAATGTTCTTTAAAATGAATAATACATATCAGTAAACAAAATAAAATCTTTGTGAGATATCATGAAAGGCAAATTTAAGAAAGTCTGCCAGAAAGATAGGAAAAAGAAAAAGGACAAAGACATTAGGTTTTAAAAAAAATTGTTACAGACCCTAGAGGTAGATCTTGGAGAATATTTGGAGAAAGGAGCTCTACAAAAAGAGAACAAGAGAACCTCTTGAAAGGCAGGAATCTTCAGATTGAAAGGAACCCTTTGAGTATCATCCAGAATACATAAGAAAAGATTTGAATCAGGGAATATAATAATCAAACATCAGAACATCAGGGATTAAAGAATTTTGAAAGTGACTGTAAAATTAATTCACAAGCAAGGGAATAATAACCTTCAAGATATTGGACTTATTAGTAGTCATTTAGCATCCTACAGGGCACTGAGGCCATATTTCAAAAGTTTTTGAGACAATATCTTTTCTTGGGCAAACCAGTGGTCAAGTATGAAGGTAAATAAAGATATTTAAGAATGAGAAAATTCAAGCATGCAACTTTTACGGGAAACTTCTGCAGAATATACTCAACAAGATGCAAGAGCATCCATGACAGCAATTCAGGAACCACAGGAGAAAAGGAAGCCAATACAGGCTGAGGTAAGAGAAAGTCCCGTGGTAATAGCTCAAGGACATTCTAAATGACAGCTATCAACAAACCCAGCAATCAATAAAGATTGGCCCAGAAGGATGGGGGAGAACTTATCTGAAAGTTTAGTCCTTGAGACATATTGAAAAATATAAGATGTGATAGACAAGTTTAAATTTTTTATGAGATTGAGAAATGAGGCAATTATTAATGGTAAGAAATGACAGCATGTGGCAATTATTAGTAAATAAAAAAAATAATATTTTACAGAAAACAACTTGGCTCTGAAGGATCAATATATACTAGTAATGAAAATGTCAACACTGAATACTAACAACAAAAAATTGGGATGTAAGTATCTTAGGAGATGTAAGGAAAGAGGGATTGGTGGTGTACCATTTAGGGCTCACTAGAGGAACAGATTTAATATAAAATAGAAAACATACAGAAGATTTACAAGGTAAGCTTACAATGACTGCTGCAGAGATGGATATGGAAGAATGCAAAAGAGTTTTCTGCATGCTGGACAGCCTGAAGATCCAGTCAAAAGCTGAAGGCCTAGAACTCACTGCAGAGTCTGTGTGAGTCCGTATTGGGAAACCAACGGATCTGCACTGGAGGGCTGAAGAGGCTGTCCTGGAAGCCTGAAGATATGCATCTAAGGCAATGGTAAAGACTGGAGGATCACCAAAGGAGTAGTGAGACTTCCCCGCTTTCCCTCTTTACTACACAGAGGCTACAAACCTATTCGTTGGTGCCACCCACATCCAGGATGGATGGGTCTTCTGTCTTCATTAAGTCAGTCATCCAGACACACCTAGAAATATGCTAAACCAATCTGCTTCTCATTCATGTGGACACAATTCACTATCACAGGTGATATGAGAGATATAATTATTTATTTACTAAAACAGGATATTAGTAAATATATTTGAAATTGAAAAGAAAGACACCCAATTAAACATATTATTTAGAAATATGGTGATAGAAATATGATACTGCATGCTGTCCTATGTCCAGTACTACTGAACTGAGGACACAATCCTCTGGGCAGGTTGTGAGACAATGAATGGATCAAGAAAATATGGTCTTGATACAAAATAGAGTACTTCTTTGCCATAAAGAAGGATAAACTTGAGTCATTTGTAGGAAAACAGATGCATCTTTAGACCATAATGTGAAGTGAAATAAGTCAGATACACAAGCTTAAATATCATGTGGTTTCTCTTATAAAACAATATATATAAATAAAGAGCAAAATAAAAGGTCGAGAATAGGAAGTGGGGAGGTAGATCTTTGCAAAAGGAAAGGTGACCAAGTGATGGACAGGAGGGGAAGGGGATGAAAAAAAGAATTAAGATGTGTTATGTACGCGTAGCAACTCCCTGCAAGGAATGCAATCATTATGCACTGCAAGCATGTACAAACAAAAAATAAAAATTGAAAAACAAAAAGAAATACAGTAATGGATACAGAATGGGAAATGAAATGGAGATGGGGAAGGGATTATAGTAAGAGTACTGTAATTTGGTTTTGTGTGTGTGTGTGTGTGTGTGTGTGTGTGTGTGTGTGTGTTTTCAGAGATAGGGGCTCACTATGTTGCCTTGCTTGGCCTTCAACTCTAGAGTTAAGGGATCCTTCTGCCTCAGCATCCCAAGTAGCTGGACTATAGCACGTGCCAACCTACCCTGCTCTAGAGTACTATAATTTTAAAATTGCTGTTATTTGACTAAGAGTTCTCCCCAACCTTCAACTCATACACACCTCTTGAACTAAGAATTTTAGTATTCAAGAGAGAAAACCAAGAACATTTCCATTTTTTAAAAGTCACAACTTAGGTTATGGAGATCAAGGACTTGACCAACGATAGTGTTAATTCCAGTACATTGAAGCTCTCTGGGGATAGGGTTAGGATATGATTGTGGTAAGGTCGGGTTGGATAAGACTCTTGGGATTGAGGTGCTCTCAATAGGAGATCACAAAATAGGGTATTTGGAGTAGGAAACAGAATCACACAGCCAGCCTCTCAACTAGACAAGAGTGTCTTTGTGTAAATTAAAGAAAAACACCCTTTCTCACAAAATTTTACTTCTATCAGCCAGCAAATTGTGGTGATAAATACTAAAATCTATAATGAAGATGGTGGTGGACAGAGCTCCCTAGAACCCTCCACTACATAATCATGCACAACTGCACATGACAACAATAGCTATAACTAGAGGTGAGGAAAGGACCAATGAGGATTGTAAGAGCTTGGAAAGAAAAAATTCCCTGTCTCACAATTTTCTTAGAATTTTAAAGCACATTTATAGGATGTTTAGAGGATTTTATTGCTATAAGAATTATTTCCAGGCCGGGCGTGGTGGCGCACGCCTGTAATCCCAGCACTCAGGAGGCTGAGGCAGAAGTATCACTGTGAGTTCAAGACCAGCCTGGGCTACATAGTGAGTTCCAGCTCAGTTTCAACTACGTAGTGAGACCCTACCTCAAAAAACCAAAAAAAAAAAAAGAATTATTTCCAAACCATTCTTCTCCTCAAACCAGAAGCTACAAAGAGGGGATATGTTGTCTAATTCATTTCCATATAATCAGCTTACATTAATGAACAAGGCTCATAATATATGCTTAATGACAATTTCACAAATGATGGCTCCTCTTCTCAACATGTTATAAATCCCCTTGCTTTCTCTCACTAGGACTATTGTTCCTGTCACCTCTAGGAACCAGGTCTCTTAATACCTTTTCTGGGTGTGAGTCTCAACATCACCACTTCCTAGTTACATTATCTTGAGTAAGTTATGTAACATGTCCTGGTTGAGTTTCCTTATATAAAAGATGAAATATGTATATTCTATATACCTACTTCATGAAATTATTGTGAAAATTAAATGACATAATGTTTAGATAGTATTGCAGAGAATTGCATAGAATAAGCACTCAAGTTATGCTATTGTTATTAGTTCAAATAATATTCATGTTTACTTATAATCACAAAAAACAGTTGTTTTGGCTAGGATTTACATTTGACAGCTAGTAACAACAAAAATAACAGAAATTTTCACAGCTTTTCCTTGAAGTAAAACAAGACTGCGGGTGAGTAGTCTACATCTCACAGGATGGTGCATTGGTCTTTAGAGGCTTGGCTTCTCCTGTGTCATTTCCTGGCTGAAAGGTTTCGTTATGGTCCAAGATTGTTGCTGGAGCTCCAGCCACATGCTAGAGTTCTAGGCAAGAAGTAAGAGAAAGGTAGGAATGTGAGAAGGGATTCATGCAAGCTCGCTGTCCTCTTAAAAGCCCTTTTTTCCCCATGTCCACCTGTAAAGGAGACTGTGAAAAAGCTGGTTATATTGCTATCTGGAATAAACAGCAAAGTTTTATTCTTAAGAGAATAGATATTGATTTGGCAGCTTGCCTCTTTCATAACTACAAATCAGGAACTAAGGCTGCCATTATAATGAAGACTATAGTTGATCGAAGTATGACTCCAAAATTATGCTTTGTTTTTGCCCTGAGCTGCCTGAATTAATGGAATGCAGGTTTCCTTGAAGTATGTCTGAAAGTAATTCACTCCGACATACAAAACTAAGAAAATAAGATAGGTTGCCAGTCATTTATGATTCGCATTTTGTATGTGAATATGCACAGATATATATGTGTAGTTTGTTATTCTGCATATTTGTGAATAATAAAGATATCTCCAAATTTGTGTTTAAAGGATGAAGTCAGCCAATACATAACGATCAACTCTTTCCTTCACCTGGTCATTTTAAGTTGCATCACTAATAGTTAATCTAAAATATGATCTTATAATTGGCATGCTTTTCCAATTATCCTAAGAACTAAAATGTGATGTGACATAAAATAAGACCCTTATAAAGCTTTACCCTTTATATAAAAGAGAGAATTTATATATTGATATGAGATTTATAGAAGGGAAATAAAATTCTCCTGTGAGAATTAAAACTTACCAGGGAACACAGGGACATTGCTGGCTTGGAGGATGGCATCAAGTTTAGGAAGAGTATGACAGGCAACACTGATTCTACAGTCAGAGGTGCAGGTGTACGTCTGAAGCAATAGAACAGGAGAGAGTAGAAAAGAAGCAACTCAGAAGTCAAGATCAGATCTGCTCATAATTGTTGTCATGTTATGAATTTGTTTGCATGGTCCTGTCTGTGGCTAACAGTGAGTCATGCTTTGAAGGGAATAGATATTAATCAACAAAGGTGGTTGACATGTAATTTCCAGACTTCACTTTAAGTATTAGGTTATAATCCTTACATCTGACTTCTTTTAAGTTCTCGGATAGGGTTGACAGATTAAAATACATGATGCTCAGTTATATCTGAGTTTCAAATAATTAATGGTTGATTTCTTAGCTTAAGTATTTCCTCAATATTGAATAAGACATAGTGACACATCTATACTAAAATTTTCCTGAAATTCAAATGTGGGCGGATATCCTGTATTTTTATTTGCTAAATCTAGCAATCTTAAAAAAAAGAAAAGAAAAGTCATACGGTTGTGCCTATTGGTACCAATACGAACCCAGTCTCCTGCCTCTTAGGGCTCTCCAAGACGCGACAGCACTTCTCTCTTTCCCTGAAGAGGCCCTTCTCCTTCATGATCATTGCCATTTTCAAGTATCTTATATTTTACACTGAACAGATGCTGGCTACTTACCAACTCATTCACCATGAAAAGGGGAAAGAGGGAAGAGAATAGACAGAATTCCCCGACCTTATGTTTCTATGCCTTCCTCCCCCACCTGTCTGCATGTGTTTCTACCCTTTCTTCTTCTATTCCTGTCTCAGAAACTGAGATCATCTTTCAGGGGACAATCCCTTCCCTACATGGATTCCAGAATATCAGCTTGAGAGTTTAGTTCCATCTTTTCTTCTTGCTCTGTCCACCTCCTCATTCACTGCTGGTTCTCTTTTTTGGCATCTTGATTGCTTCAGAAAGATAAAGGCTCTCTGATGATTCATCAAAGCCCTCCAGCCTTTGGCTTTCTGTTGTCTATCCATTCCTGTCTTCTTTGACATTGACGTTCTTTTAAAACCATTCTGCACTAGTGGGTTACCAACATAGCTACCCATTAGCTTTATCTGAGAAATTGTATTTAAACTATTATTAGTTTCAGTATCTTTCTTCAGGCATACTAAATCCTGGGGTAGAATCTTCTCTGTGTCTAGCCAGTTCCTCTTCCTCAAGATATCTGTACTCTCCTGGCTTATGTCTCTGCCTCTGAGTGCTCATTGTCCCTGCTTTGGTCCAGGCATATATGACTCCTGCCAGGAAAATAGTGCTCTCTTCATTTGCTCTGTGTGCCTCTAATCTTCTGCACTATACTTCTACCTGACCTCAGATTGATTGTCATAAATCATATTTTACTGTATTGCATTCCTAATTTGAGTTTATAACTGACTTCTTATCTTCAGGATAAAATCCAAATTCCTTAGCATGTCAAACAGAGCTCTTCATTGCGTGGCCACTCCTAACCATGTAGCCAAATCACTCACCTTCCTTCCCTCCAAGAATACTTCAGCACCTGCAGCTTCTCTAGGCACTGTTCATTCTTGTTTTACTTGTGCAACCTTGAAACTCTTCTACTTGGAACACCTTTAGCCAAACATTTATCCTCATTTTTCCTTATCCTTAAAGACTTGGGAATTACCTGAGTGCTTGTCTATACTTGCCACTGATTCCTTGAGGACAGATGGGATATCTGATCCCTTTTTGTGGCCCACACTGCGTACCTGGAGTTATAATACATTGCTGTAGGTGCTCATGAAAAGAGTGTCTGGATAAACCACTGAGTGACAAAATTAAAAGATATTTAAAAGCCAACAAATGATTTCCTAGGGAGAGAAGGTTGGAATACAAATTAAAAATTTAAAAGGCATTTGCCAAAAACTTAGAATATTAGACAAAAAAGTAAACAAAATTTCAGATTTCATAAGTTTATTTTATAAAAGCCTAAAGATTACAGAAATTAAAATGTAACTCAGATTTACATATACATTTACACAAACAAGCTGGGTCTGTGCTCAGTTGTTTTCTGTTTTTTTTGTTTTGTTTTGTTTTGCACACTGGGATCTCTGGCTTTTGCTTTACCTTTCTCTTCCCTGTACTATCCTACAATGGCTAGTGAATTTCTTAAGTGTCTAATTCAACTAGTGAACATGATTTGAGTGATAGCATGTTTTGTCAGTTCATCCGTGCTTCTAAATCTCTGTGCTAAGTAGCTCAAATGTTTCACAATCCATTGTCCATCCCTCACTTTTGGCCTGTGAGTAGAATGGTTTAACTGAGTGAAACACTGTTTTTTCTCCCACTAGTGGGAATATTTATCATCACTCTTTTATGTTTTCATTATCCTTTTTACTATTAACCATTTTATCCATATACTAACCATGACAAAATCCCCATGCAAAAATCACATGAAAAAGTCAGGTGTGGTGGTTGTCTTCGTTACTTTACTCATTGCTGAGACAAAATACCCGATGCCCAAAGTTAAGGGAGGAAAGGGTTATTTAGCTCACAGTTTGCAGAGGTTCCAGTCCATAGCTGGGCAAAAATATTCAGTCTATAACACATATTACAACATTTATAGATAAAACACATTATGTCTGAGACTTGCTTCAAAAGAATACAGAAGAGAATGGAGACCAAATGAGACAGGTTGCAGATGAAACAGGACTGTCATTAATAAGTGTTTAAACTGAGTGATAGATTATATAATAATCATGAACGATTATTATGTTAGTTTGTCTGCTTCTGAGAAAATTGTAATTTTTCATTTTAAAAAGGTTTTAAAGTTGTGCTTAATCTCTTAGATATTTGAAAAGACTACATAAGTACAATGAGTAGCTTTTCGTTTGATGCAGAAAGAATAAAATGTGAAATAAGACTTGTATGTCACTGGCCCATATTGCTTTTCTTGCAATTGTTGTTTAACACAGACTAGAAACAATTGCTAATGATGAAGTATTGTATAGTAGATTTTATATAACAGGGCAAAAATGCACTAGTCTTGAACTGATGCATAATTCAAGCATGGAACTTTGCCCAGATAGACGGTATAGTTTCATCCAACAGAATTTTATGCAATAGTGGAAAAGGTCTATCTATGCTTTGTCCAATATGGTAGCCACTAGACACTTGTGCCTACTGGGCTGAAGAGTGTGACCAAGTGGCTAGTGCATGATGAATGGCTGTTGCAACTAAGGAATGAAATTTTACATTTTACTGATTTACATTCATATATTTATGTACCTATTTTTTTAGATCTGGCAATTATGTTTCTCAGTATAGATACACAGTAAAGCCTTTGGTTGTAACTTGTTCTGCAAGTGTTCCACAAGATGAGCAAACATTTCTAACCATGAGTGATGTCTTACAATATGAGTAGTATGTGACTCATAGTATGAATGTCATATGATCACAACTGAGCCAATGTTTCATCTTCCCCCACTTTCCCCCTCTCTGTCTCCCAACAGCAAGAGGTTATGGAGATCTCTTTTGAAAGGAGGAGGTGAAAAAAGGCAAAGGAATCTCTCTCTTCTAATGAAATTAGGGAGATGTGTCAAATGTGGGAAAGTGCAAAATTTTGTAGAAAAGAACCCCCAAACAAGCCTGAAGGAGTTTGAGCAATGAAACTGTTTAGTGACAGTGCAATATCATAATTCTCCAAATTCTCAAAAAAGGCAAATTCAAGTGTCCTTGGATAGGTTCCTTGCTGAAGTTGCACAAAAATAAAATAATCCCATTGAACAATCAATAGCAGTGATTCCATTAGTGATAGTGAAAATTGTCCTACACAGTCCTACATTGTCCTCTTCTAGCTTGTTTCCTTCATATCAGCCACGAAGGTGTTCATAGGTATTGCAGGAAAATTTGTTTTTCTTTATATTTTGTATTTTCTTTATTATTCTGTATTATATTACAGTATTGAAATCATTTTTATATGAATATTTTTGGATTATGGAATGAATCTTCTGTCTTTTCACTACCTCTTGTGGGAAAATTTGCTTTGATATACAAGTGCTTTGGATTAAAAGCATGTTTCTGCAATGAATTATGCTCACAAACCAAGGTTTTACTGTGTATCTTAGACAAGTAAAATAAATAAAAAATGTATGCCATAAATGAAAGAATTGGGAATTCGTAGTGAAACTACTTGACTTCAAATATTGATGTTAATATTTAAACTGAGAGCTGGGTATGCCGGTGCACGCCTGTAATCCCAGCCGGGGCTACATAGTGAGTTCAAGGCCAGTCTGAACTACATAGCAAAATCCTGTCTCAAAAAGCAAAGCAACAAAAAATTAAACTGAGAAACTATCATGAATAAATTATCTATAAATAACTATAATAGTCTTCTAGACTGCCATAACAAAATACCATAGACTGGGTAGTTCAACAGCATGAATCCATTTTCTCATAGTTTTGAAGGCAGGACATCCAAGAAAAGGGTCCTAAGATTGCTGTGGGTGAGATCTTTCTTACTGGTTTTTAGACAGCCATCCTTCATTGTGATCTTTATTCTGTGCAGTGGACAGCGATCTCTGGTGTCTCTTCCTCTTCTTAAAAAGATACCAATAAGAGATTAAGACCCAACCTTCATGGAATTGTCTAACCTTACCACCTTTAATGGTCCTGTCTTCAAACGTAGTCACCTTAAGTTTCCCAGACTGGTTGTAAACTTGATTTCCTCCTGCCTCATCCTCCCACATAGTTGGGATTACAGGTGTGTGCTACTGTTTCAGTATTTCCAAAAGAATTTTTGACAAGTTGAATTTATAATGTTTTGAAGTTCTAAATTTTTAAATTTGTACTATTTTAGACAGGTGTCTCTAGTTGGATGAGGTGGGAAGAGTTGATAGAGTATTCTGGATTGTTTACAAATTACCAAAATTGAACAAAATAGATACCACAGACATCTGAGACTCAGTTTCTATATCTTCAAAATGAAGTTGCTGGTATGGGTAATTTTGATTTTATGGTAAGTACACAAACACTAAAATTTTATGGCTCTATAAAAACATGTATTTCTCTACTTTTTA